CTTCGCTGAGGGTAACTCTCATTTTTATAGTTTGGAGTTCACCCGTTTTACGTGAAGTGGTGAAAAAGGCGATATTCGCGGTGATAGTCGTGAAAAATTTTCTTCACTGGTGTTTTTCATATCGCGGGTGAAACTCCATAAAAGTGAAATTCTGTTTAGATACTTATCAAACCTCATCGTGCTTTGGTCCTGAGGACACGAGGACCGCAGTGGCATATTTCCATATGGGAAAGGTCTTTCAGATTACGGGTGAACGCACTAAGGTGAGGCCAGGCTGATACGGTCGGGAAGAATCCATGGCCCTTGCTGTAGGCAGACTCGTTTTTCACAACGGTTATATCTATATATGCAAGATGGTTTGAGAAGCACATCGACAGCGACGGTTGGTTGCCTGAGGTCACTCAAATATTGTAGTTATTTTTACTATGGAGGGATGTTAGATTTTCCGAAGGCCAGGAGGTTTTTATCGTACTCCTGGTATAGACAGTCACCCCACAGCATTCGAGTGGTCTGTGATGACAGCTCGTGAAGGGGCTGATATAGGGGGAAAGGGTAGTAGTAGTAGCTGGGGGGAAACTGGTGTCGGATATGAAGAATGAAGTGTTGAAAAATGAGTTTGCTTTCCTCAGCTGAGCTCGGAAGTTTCCTCACTAATTATGGAAGTTTATATATAAATTCGAGTAGAAATGTACGGGAATCACCAATAATCTCCTAAAATTTCCTCAGAATTTTGGTATTGTCACCGATACATGTAGTTGTCTATTGTTACATATTTTCCCCCCATACTCGGAAACTCATCCAAGCACCCATAATGCTCCCCCGGGGGGAACTCATTCTGAATTTCCCACATGGCTAGGAACACATTCTTCAATCAGCTTTCATGTAACTGTCATCACATTAGTAGCATTTTTCCTAGTGTTATCAGACTCTAAGAAAGGTTGTTTCTCAAAGGTAGATAAGGCATTGCTCAACTGATGCACTAGGTATGGACGTCGAAAGGAGCCAGCAGAATATGATGACGAATGGGAGAGGTCAGGATGGGATATTCTTGACTTTGACGCAGCGACAGGAGACGATTGATTACTTGAAGTATATTCTGAAGTACCGGGAAGGGAAGGTTAATGGTGGGGATGATGGAGGAGGACGATAGAAGATATTCTGTAGCGTGCGGTATTACAGGCTCGGACAACGCTGAGAAGGCGACTGCTAGGGGGGCTTTTAAGAGGACGAGGGAGTCTGATGCAGTAGCCGAGACTAAGTAACTCTCGTATAGAGCATCGTGCGGCAGACCAGGGAGGAACCTATAATGGAGTTTCACCCGTTTTACGTGGAGTGGCGTAAAACTCGGTGAAAAACGCGATATTTGTGGTATGTAGTAGTCGTGAAATATGTTTTTCACTACTGTTTTTCATGTCACGGGGGAAACTCCAATGTTCCCCTTATTTTGAATTTCTCACATGGCTAGAAACAGAATCTTCTATCAGTTTTTTTACGTAAGTGTCGTCATATAAGGAACATTTTTCCGCATTTTATCGGACCTCTTAGGACGTTACTTTGGTTTAGATATGTACTGGCATTGATGTTGTTTTATATGGACATGGAAATCCCCACAGCGAAGGTGTGTTGTGGTGACTGCTGCGTAGTGGTAGATGACTTCAGGAGTATATCGTAGCGGCTGATGACTACTTCCAGGATGTGGTCGAAACGTTGGACGCTTCTCATGCTACTGATAGGATGTTCGAGTTGAAGGCGAAGACTGAGTAGTGAAAGGGGGTACTAGTGCTTCTGGTCTCGAGTTCAGCAACGTCATGAGTTCGTGGAAGGTGTGGTATGGTTTGTAGTATCTATGTCAGGCATTACAGGACGATGCTATTCGATACAAACTACGGGGCATGATGATGGTGACTATGGGAGGGTTTGGTGTTAGGCCTATAGCGTGCGCTGTGTTATAGTATGTTAATTGGGCAAGGGCGTTTGCTGGAACAACTGTCCTAGTAAATGCACTACTGGGCAAAAGCATGAGAACTCGCAATTTGGTGATCTCTCATGCACATACATGTTCCTTATTGCTGATAGGAGTTGATCGCGCTTCTCATAGTGGTTCGGGGAACACTGTATGTCACTAAATGGCAGCGAGGTGAAATTTCCGAAGTTCCTATTGATGCGAATAATAGTGAGTTTGGATTACTCGTGAAGTCGGCGTTGGTTACTTTCACATGGTAGGATAACGAAATGTATCTAGCTTGATTAACACCAGATCTGTGCAGTTGTTCACGAAGAGTAAAGCATAACTACCCGAGATTCCCTCCTAAGCATAGCTGACTGGCACGCTAAGTGCCCTATAGATATTTGGGCTCCTAGGATGAGCGAGATAGGTATAGGTTAGCCTAGGGGGAAACTATATTTTCCGAACGGAGGAAGCGAAAGGGAGTGCCCTACCGCTCTACTCGCGATGAAGGCTCTGGCCACGAATACTGCATACAGTTCGGATGATAGTTGAATCCATTTCTGTTGCCGTGAAATTGCATGCTTTAACATTTTGCGATTGTGGCTGACGTTATCCCTACAAGGTCGCGTACAGTATTTATTTATCCTTGGGTTTACCTGTCCATGTCGAGAGCCCTCGTGCCTCCGGCACTGCCATCGAGTAGTGGCGATTACCACTATCGTCCCCATCAGCAACAACAGCAACAGCAGTATAACTCTACCCAATCTACTGCAGCCTGTAGTCCTAGTGCTACTGCAACTC